GCAGCCCAGCCACAGAATTACCAGTGAATACAAGCCCTCCGACAAAAGCAGAAGTGAAGTCCTGAACTCCATAAAGCCGCTGAAATTCGGGAAAGCAGCAGGACCACATGGAATTCCTCCAGGAGCACAGAAAACAGACGCGGAGACAACAGCAGACACGCTCACACCACTGTTGCAGAAGGTTTGAAAGGAAGGAAGGATATCTGTGCATTGAGTGGAAGAATGGCTACCCTGTCAAACTCCCGTAGAAGGGAGACCTCAGTGTTTGCACGAACTGGCACAGAATCATGCTCCTGTCCAACCCAACTGAGCGAAATATTAAGCCGCATCATCCTGGAGAGACAAAAAGATGACCTGGATTCAAACTTAAGACCGGAACAGGCTGGCTGCCTGGCTGGCTGGCTGGATGGCTGGCTGGCTGGCTGGCTGGCTGGCTGGCTGGCTGGCTGGCTGGCTGGCTGGCTGGCTGGCTGGCTGGCTGGCTGGCTGGCTGGCTGGCTGGCTGGCTGGCTGGCTGGCTGGCTGGCTGGCTGGCTGGCTGGCTGGCTGGCTGGCTGGCTGGCTGGCTGGCTGGCTGGCTGGCTGGCTGGCTGGCTGGCTGGCTGGCTGGCTGGCTGGCTGGCTGGCTGGCTGGCTGGCTGGCTGGCTGGCTGGCTGGCTGGCAACGAACCAGCCAAGAATCCACCACCTAACAAATATGCACTGGAACGAAGTGGAGATGGATTGGGCTTACACTGAAAAGGCCGATTGGGGACATCAAGCACAAGATCGTGTCCTCCAGTGGAACCCGAAGGAGGAAGGACGACTTGGGCGTCCGAGGTGAGAGTGACATGGAAGAGATCATGTGAGGAATAAATGAATGCTTGTGCGCAGTTGTTGAGTCAGGTGGAAAAGACTGTAGATAAGAGAGTGAAGTGGTGATGTGCTACTGAAACCCCATGTTCCACTAGGAACCCATGGGACAAATCATAATAGTAATAATAATAATAAGGTATGTGAAATCGGGAGATGAATTAATATCCGGTGACAGGTTTATTGACAAAGTGTTCATTATGTTCAAAAGTTCATGATAGCAAAATATGGAAGTAAAACTGTCGACTTGTGCATCTCATATTGGCAATTTTATCAGAGTTGAAAATTGATACCAAGTGAGAGTTACACAGAGAAATTGTGAAGTGTATCGATAGTCGGCTGACAGCTGACAGCTGTTTCCTTCTCCTCTAATCTATGTCTGTTAAATCCATCGGTGGTATAATCCCACAATGCATCAATTCTTACAATCAGTACTAATCTTAGAAACCACTAAATAACCTTAAACACTGTCAATTTCAAGTAATAATTTGAGATTTATGAGAGACAATACATTGTGACCTGTGTAACGTGACAACTCAGTCTTCACAATAACACACTGTGAACACAATCACAAAACTAGGTTAATATACTATTATTTTACAGTTTTATGCATGCATGAAACTGACGAAGTATACCCATTTATTCATTAACTGGAACAAGGCATGGATCAGCGAATAAATATTTCTTTTCAACGACTTCACTATCAATCTGTACAGTCGTATTTATACTCAGTAAAGTGACAGATAATTGCAAATACTATCACCTACACCGACTGTATATTCTGCATATTGATTTAGCAACTTTTTAGTCCATTTTTCTATCACTTTACGGAATATAAATACGACTGCTGTACAGCTTGATAATGAAGTCATTGAAGGGAAATATTTCTTCTAAGCTGATCCATGCCTTGTTCTTGTTAATACATGAAACTATAAATGAATTAAAACATTACTATTATCTACAGCTATCAATGGCAGGATAATGCAAGCAACAACATTAAGACTATATCCATCTCACAAGGAGTGGATATGTACCGTCACTCGATGGCCTAGTATATAACGCTTTAGTGTTTGCGGTGGTCGTTCCGCGGTTCAGGTCTTAGTGGAAGCAGTATTATTCACTGAGAGGCCGGTACATCCAGCTGACGAATCCGGAATATGAAGAAACGTGCATACTGGATTCCACTGCTATCCACTATCCATCATCGCTATGAGTATTATAGATATTGTTCCCATTACTTGACTGATACATCAAGAATACACACTACACTCACATTGAGCACTTCAACTCAACAAAGGAAACCACACTGTCAGATATCTTCATCGGTCAGGCATAAAACCATTCGATTTGAAATGTGACTGAATAGAGATGCAGAGATTTGAATTGATGGAGGATTTTGTTGAAGCATTTTTAGTGTGAATTTGTAAGCATTAGATAGCTGACAATCAAATGCATAAAAGTGACATATGGAGCGATCGGTAATGACAGTCTTGTTAAAATGGTATATGTCTTTATGAAGTGTTTTCAGATTCAAAGATCATTTTCATTATTACTGATAAAAATAAAAGGTAGCTGTGCTCAAATAAACCCCCATTAGTTAGACAGTAGAAATAACCAGGAGTATGATTTTCATTGTCTTGAGATGAATATTCACGAGAAATCTGAAGATTAATTTGTTGCAGAAATTTAGCTGTAAATAACCTGACTTGGCAGACAATTAGAGGTTGTAAAGTATCGTATACCAGATAATGGTTCTGTCATTTAACTTACCATCCAAGGATAACAGAAATTAAACAACAGATTTCAAGTTTAATACTTTTTACAAACAGTTTTCAGTTGAAAAAATAGTTTAGCTTCTTTTCCGTCCTCATCAGATTAACTAGAAAGATAAACTGCTTAGTGTTTTTTATTTGACTATATTAAGCAGATTAATGCGTGCTCAAAAACAGTCAAATAACTCATACACTGCATTCCTGTAATCATTTCTATTCAATAGTTTATTCCATACTGATTCTGTGTTTATTCTAGTCTGTTTTCGGTTGAAGAGAAGCTGAGAAATAAGCATGGGTGAAGTTTATTCTGCAAATCTTGTTCTCATTACTGTGATGAACACTTAAATAATAATTTAGACGTAGGACTACCAACGAGCTGCTTGAAAGAGCTTTTGTTGAGGTGCACATTTAATGTCCAATTCAGTTTCAATAATGAAATCTATAGACAGAAAGATGGAATTGCGATGGGGTCACCATTGGGACCACTGCTAGCAGATTTCTTCATGTCGAAACTAGAAAATTCACAACTTCGTCAAACTATTGATAGCTTTGACTTTTATAGAAGATATATGGACGACACGTTTGTTATTTGCGACAAAAATGTAGACCTCGACGACGTGCTTCGTTCATTCAATGAATGTCATCAAGCCCTCAAGTTTACTATAGAGAAGGAATCAGAATCAACTATTCCTTTTCTTGATGTGCTTCTCACCCGACGTCAGAATGGATACCTTAAAAGATCCATCTACAGAAAACCAACGTGGAACGGACAACTAACTAATTTTTATAGTTGGGTGCCCATCAACAGAAAAAGAAATCTTATTCACTCTCTTTGCTATCGAATAAGAAGTATCTGTAGTGACGATTGTATCGAGGAAGAGCTATCTTTTTAAAAAGCATACTTGTCGAAAACGGTTACCCTAGCCGTTTTATTGATAAAAATATGCGGGAAAGAAACACTAAACCAGTCATCCACTCGGTCTCAAAGAAAAGATTGTTTATGAGCCTAGAGTTTAAAGGAGACCTAGCATCGGATGTACTGAAGAATCGTCTTACCAGATCAATCAATAGGACTTTCTTCGCAGCAAGACTTCAGTTGACTTTTACCAGCCGCAACCTATTCTCCACCTGCGTTAAAGACAAGCTTCCTCGTTTGGCCGCCTCTATGTGCATCTACCAGTTCACCTGCTCTTGTGGAGCAAGGTACATCGGCCGTAGCCAGAGAATGCTTTCTACACGTATACGAGAACATGTTCCTGCTTGGTTTTATAAAGGTGAAAGAAAGTCTGTTAGAAGTTCGATTCTAGAACATTTGATTGACTTCCATCACACAACAAATCCAGACGATGACTTTGAAATTATTTATCAAATTCGCCCAAACCTCCCACGTTCTCTTCGTTTTCAACTCCTTAAAACAGCGGAGGCTTTAGCTATTCATGAACTAAGACCTGATCTGTGTGTACAAAAGAAGTATGTGCAGTCACTGTCTTTATCATGGCCATAACATTTTCCCACCCCATTAGCTCCCCCTCCCACTTTGTTAATTTAACCTTTGTATCCTTCCTTTATCACTATTATTGTTATTATAATCGCCTTCACTTCAACTAGTTTCCGGTGTTGTTTCACTTAATTGTCTTAATCCTTTTAGAAAACATTGACTTCATCTTGTCCAATTTGTCTAATGCCATTACATAATACTTAATTGATTTACCATTTTCAACAATTTTTTCACCCCCTTCTGAGTTATATACTCTCTATGTACCATTCCATATATTACATAATCTATTTGTTATCATTCGCACTTCAATTGTTATTATAATCATAAATGCCTATGTCATCACCCGCTCTATTATTATTGTCATCACCATATAGTGTTTAGTTTTCCTCACAGGATATAATTTTTTCCAAATACCATATATATACGATTGTACAGCTTGAAAATAAATTCGTTGAAAAGAGTCTCTTCGCTGAATATCTTGTTCTTAATGTTACAATGGGAATTATTAAATTATTAAATAATGGTCAACTGACCCACAAAATAAAGTATGAATAACACAGACAGTAAAGTATATCTAACTTCACCTTCTCAATTAGGTAATCCAGAGGGTGTAGATAACAATTGGTCAAATAAAACATATTAGTTAAACAAAATAAAAAAAGATTAAATATTCGATACGCGTAATTATTTACTGCAGTTAGTCCTTAGGTTGCATTAATGAAATCGATCTACCGACTAACAATTTTAATTGGTGAAGTAATACATCACCTAAAAATTAATCATCACGGGATTCTTGTTGGCTGACTTGGCCTTATTCTACATCGATTTATTAATTATTGTGCAGCCTGAATTACATTCATCAGCCCAACATGATATCTATAAGATGATTAGTTCTTTTTCTTATCATTTATAATCACCATTCTACTGATTATATCTGCCCCCCCCCCCACCTCTCACAAAGCCTATGCTCAGCATTAGAAAATACTGATTAGTATTATGTTGTATAATTATATAAACTATGAACAACGTTACACTGATGCTGCAGAGTTCAGAAAAGAGTCTAACGAAGCCTAAGATTATTATGGCCAAAAGCAAAGCTTGGAGTGTTCACTTACAACAAAAGTTCACCGGAAGATATTCTAGGTGTTCATTGGCAATTATTCTTACAACATATATCTTATTTTATGCTACAATCTACGAATTAAGTCTTGAAGAAACAGAAGAAGTAATCTTTACAACAAAACTACTGTCTATGAAGAAATTTGACATCAGTCAGAGTGCAGAAACATGCCGTTCAATCTGTAACAATATCACCAGTATTCCGAAAAATAAAGTGGAATATCTGAAACCAATCGGGAATCTATGGAAAATAGTTCATTCTGAAGTACATAGACACTCAAGGAATAATACGATTTTTCCACATTTAGTCGGTGGATCATGGATTTTTAAAGACGAAAGTTTCGATTCAAGTGATAAATGCACTTCAGTTCCAGAATCCGGTGTAGCAATTGTATTTGTATGCAGAGACAGATGGATGCAGTTAAACATAACATTGAGCGTACTAATCCCGATTCTACAAAAACAACATTTATGTTGTCGGATATTTGTTATTGAACAAGCAGGAAATGGTATGTTGAACAAGGCGAGATTATTGAACTCAGGTTTTCTTGAAGCTAGAAAAAGATTTAATTTCAACTGTATTGTATTTCATGATGCTGATCTGGTCCCTTTGAATGATAAGATTCCATATGGGTGTGATTTTCAGACAAGAGATACACCTGTGCATCTAAGTGTTGGTGTAAGCAAATGGAATTATGTCCTACCATACATCCGGTTGATCGGTGGTGTCTTGAAGATATCTAATGAACATTTTATTTCAATAAACGGATATTCCAACAGCTATTGGGGTTGGGGAGGTGAAGACGATGATTTGGAGAAGCGATTAAAAGCTTTGCGAATTAAATATGTCCATTTAGATAAATCCTTGGGACGATATGTATCTGTTCCACATGAGGAACAAGCCACCTTGAGTCAGAAAAGTCGTCGTATACTTTTGAATGATGCGGTTAGACGCATGCATGTAGATGGACTGAATTCATTGTCGTACAGAGTTGTGAACATTTCTGAGAAACCCTATTTTACGCATATCACAGTCTCACTTGGAGACCAATTTTAACCAACACTGTGTTGACTATAAGATGTTTATACAATTCGATATCTCTACTTTCAAATCGAATTACCGAAAACATTTGCTATATTAAATAATCGAATTGTTTTTAACAATGTAGAGTTATTCGGAATGTACGAATTCTTTCGAATGGAAACAATAACTCTAATGTTCATAGTTGAAGAGAATAATAAAGTTCTAATTGATTTCTAGTTTCATGTATGCATAAAATTGTGAAATAATAGTATATTAACCTAGTTTTGTGATTGTGTTCACAGTGTGTTATTGTGAAGACTGAGTTGTCACGTTACACAGGTCACAATGTATTGTCTCTCATAAATCTCAAATTATTACTTGAAATTGACAGTGTTTAAGGTTATTTAGTGGTTTCTAAGATTAGTACTGATTGTAAGAATTGATGCATTGTGGGATTATACCACCGATGGATTTAACAGACATAGATTAGAGGAGAAGGAAACAGCTGTCAGCTGTCAGCCGACTATCGATACACTTCACAATTTCTCTGTGTAACTCTCACTTGGTATCAATTTTCAACTCTGATAAAATTGCCAATATGAGATGCACAAGTCGACAGTTGTACTTCCATATTTTGCTATCATGAACTTTTGAACATAATGAACACTTTGTCAATAAACCTGTCACCGGATATTAATTCATCTCCCGATTTCACATACCTTATTATTATTATTACTATTATGATTTGTCCCATGGGTTCCTAGTGGAACATGGGGTTTCAGTAGCACATCACCACTTCACTCTCTTATCTACAGTCTTTTCCACCTGACTCAACAACTGCGCACAAGCATTCATTTATTCCTCACATGATCTCTTCCATGTCACTCTCACCTCGGACGCCCAAGTCGTCCTTCCTCCTTCGGGTTCCACTGGAGGACACGATCTTGTGCTTGATGTCCCCAATCGGCCTTTTCAGTGTAAGCCCAATCCATCTCCACTTCGTTCCAGTGCATATTTGTTGGGTGATGGATTCTTGGCTGGTTCGTTGCCAGCCAGCCAGCCAGCCAGCCAGCCAGCCAGCCAGCCAGCCAGCCAGCCAGCCAGCCAGCCAGCCAGCCAGCCAGCCAGCCAGCCAGCCAGCCAGCCAGCCAGCCAGCCAGCCAGCCAGCCAGCCAGCCAGCCAGCCAGCCAGCCAGCCAGCCAGCCAGCCAGCCAGCCAGCCAGCCAGCCAACCAGCCAGGCAGCCAGCCACTCGGAGTTACTTCTTGCTTATTCTTATTAGGCTGGTCATCTGATCTGATCTACTCTATCGAGTGAGCAAGCCTAGGTGGCAGCTGTTCATGGAAGTGCTGTTCGAAGTGTTGTTGGAAGTGCTTTTCGTGAAGTGAAGTGAAGTGACGTGACGTGTCAAGTTTGTGAACCACATGGCAGCACTGACTTGACATTGGTGTTGAAAATCCACATCTTGTTCACGCTTTGTACTGAGTACAGTTCAATAGATCTACACACTGATTTCAGATTAACGAAGGCCTGTCTTACTGTTTTTCCGATCCAGGTTTTGACATCGTCGTCTGTACCTGTTGCGCCTGTTGTCGAGATGATGCCACGTAGGTGGGTAGTTAGGTAGGTAGGTGTGTAGGTAGGTAGGTGTGTAGGTAGGTGTGTAGGTAGGTAGGTGTGTAGGTGCGTAGGTAGGTAGGTAGGTAAGTATTTGAAAGACACTACTTTCATTAGATTTCACCCGTTCATGTTGATCGGTGCCTATTGTTGTTATTGGTGGTAATGGTGATGGTGATCGTGATTGTGATCGTGATGGTGATGATGATGGTGATGGTGGTGGTGGCGGTGGTGGTGATGGTGATGGTGGTGGTGGTGGTGTTGGTTAGGTATCTTCATCACCTCTGTCTACTCTACGTTCATCTGAAGGTAGTCCCACCCTCCTTCGCTGCCTCTCTTCGCCTCACCTCACCTCACCTCACCTCACCTCTTCTGTCAACTTGTTAGTTTTCGCCTGTAGATCTTCGGGATTGTACGACAAGACATTAGAGATAAGTCATCATCGTTGGAGAAATTCAAATCTTCTTCTGGGGACTTTTCATCTGTTCAGCCAGCGTATGCCCATCTTATCACAGCTTCTCATGGTTTGCTGCATGATCCAGATCAGTCGACCACAATCAGGAAGATCATTGGTGATAGTGAGCGGCAGCCTTGTCTTACCCCTGTCCTCACTTCAAGGGCGTCACTGAGCACTCCATTGTGAATCTTTTGGTGTGTGGCGTCTTCATATAGTTGTTGAATGAGATTGGTAAAGGTTTGTGGTATTCCGTAGTGTTGAAGTAGCAGCCTGCCAAATTACTTGTCAGTCAACACTGTCGAAGGCCTTTCAAAATCGATGAAGTTGAGGTAGAGAGAGAGAAAGAGAGAGATTTGACTGTGGTTCTATACTTTGTTCTATGATGATGCATAGTGCAGCGTTGCAGTTTGTTCCGCACATGATTTGTTCTTCCTGAAGCCAGCAAGACAGCCAGCCTGTTCCGGTTGTAAGTTTGAATCCAGGGCATCTTTTTGTCTCTCCAGGATGATGCGGCTTAATATTTCGCTCAGTTGGGTTGGACAGGAGCATGATTCTGTGCCAGTTCGTGCAAACACTGAGGTCTCCCTTCTACGGGAGTTTGACAGGGTAGCCATTCTTCCACTCAATGCACAGATATCCTTCCTTCCTTTCAAACCTTCTGCAACAGTGGTGTGAGCGTGTCTGCTGTTGTCTCCGCGTCTGTTTTCTGTGCTCCTGGAGGAATTCCATGTGGTCCTGCTGCTTTCCCGAATTTCAGCGGCTTTATGGAGTTCAGGACTTCACTTCTGCTTTTGTCGGAGGGCTTGTATTCACTGGTAATTCTGTGGCTGGGCTGCAGATGTTATTTCTGGACGTGTTGCTTGTGGTGGTGGTGGTGGTGGTGCTGGTCATTTCAAGAGTTGTTTGAAGTGGTCAACCCATCGTTTTGTTTCCTTCGTTCCTCCTCTTTGGCGGTGACTAGGTTTCCTTTACTAGCTTTCATTGGTTTCATCTGTGTTGATCTCTTCCCTCCCAGATAGCAGTTACCTGGTTATTTGATTAATGTTGTCAGGTCTCTGTCTCTGTCTCTGCTGCCTGCAACCTGTTCTGTTTCACTTGTCAATCTGTCGTACAAGTGTCTCTTGTCTTCCCGTGCACTCTTCTTCACTTCTTTGTCCAGTGTAGTGTTTTATAGGTTGTGTTCAGTTCTGCATTTCGTTGTTCATCCCTGCACTGCACTGCACTGGTTCATCTTCTGCCTAACCGTCTTCCTCTCCCTGCTCTGTCGGTTTCCATGTGTCCATCGAGATCCATTCCTTGTGTCATCTTGCATCTTCTTGCTTCCTAGTACGGTTGTGCAGGTTTCCTCCCACACAGCTTTCAAAGAGTTCCAGTGTTCTTCCACACAGGTTTCTTCAAGGATGTTGCTCAATATCTCCCATTTCGTCCTGATGACTGACTAACGTGAAGATGTCATCTGTAGTTTCGTCCTTCAGTTCACTTTCTGTTCTGTGTGTCCAACTTGAGCTCTGGTCTATCACCAACTTCTTCGAAAGCTTTCAACTTGATTTGGAAGTTAGTTTCCTTGCACTAGGTGGTGAGTGATGTCAACTTACATCTGCTCCCCTTCTTCATCATGTGTCCAGTAGGCTAACTGCGTCTCCACTTTCTACAGCGTGAAATGAAGTCGATCTGACTTGTAGTGTAGTGCGTCCATTTGGTGAATGGTGAAATCCATGTCGCTGCCTTGTGAATATCCTTGTGTTTGTACACACTGCCTGACTGCAATCACCAAATCGTTGAATGCGCAGAAGTCTGCAAACAGGTCTGCATTCTCACTCACCATTTCACCGGGTGCTTGTCGACCCACGATTGGTTCTCTTCCTGTGTTGTCCACTCCGAGTTCGGCATTCATGTCAACTCACCCATTAGGATTTTGATGTCGCCAACTGGGGAGGGGTCTTGTCGAGTACTGATTGCAGTTGTCTGTAGAATTCCTCCTTCTTCTCACCATCTGCATTACGTGTAAGCGCACAGCGTACTGTAGCACTGTATGACTGTGAGTTTCCTTCCTCTTGAGTTGAACTTTGCAGTCATGATCCTGGTCCTGCAGGAGGAGATTGCTTCCCACTGTATGAGAGAGAGCCTTCTATTCTCTTGGGGACATCATGATAGCCACTCGAAAACTCAGTGTGCTCGTGGTTGTCGTGTCGTCTGTGTGACAATATCGGAGTAGATTACTGACTCTTCAGTTGACAGTTTGGAGAGTCAACTCCCATTCCATCTGCTTTCTCAGATTCCTAGTACTTCTCTGCCATACCATCTCATCTCTTTTGGAATCTGGACAGTCTTGCTAGGTTCATACATGGTGTGGACATTCCGTGTTCCCACGTTTACTTTTGCTTTGATTGAGAGAACTGAAGACACATCGGCCTGGTCAATTGGCTTGCCGAAGGCTTTCACCAACTGGCTTCATTTAGCCTCTCCGACTCCAGTGAGGAATAATTTTAATTTTATGTTTTATATTTGGTTTGTGCTTTGAAGTTTCTGTAGCGGTCAGATTTGTTTTACGGGATAGAAGTAGAGTTGGTAGCCCTATGCTCAACCTTCCTTTTGTTCGGGCTTAGGACCGGCTAGTAACTAGTGAACTAGTTACCCATGCGAGGTTACATACCTAATTATCAGCAATGAATTCAGGATGAAAGTGCTTCAGGAATACTGCCTGCATCTCTGCTGAGAGGCCTTTGACAGCGTCGACGGAGAAGTAATTTGGAAACTGCTTCAATACTACGGAGTACTGCAAACCTTTATCAGCCTCATTCAACAACTATATGAAGATGCCACATGCCAAGTAATTCACAATGGGAAGCTCAGTGATGCCTTCGAAGTGAAGTGAAGTGAAGACAGGAGTGAAACAAGGTTGCCTGCTATCCCCCATGATATTCTTGATTGTGGTGGACTAGATCATGCAGCAAACAGTAAGGAACGAGAAGAGGGGGATACACTGGACGACGGAAAAGAACCTAGAAGACTTGGATTTCGCCGATGACTTATGCCTAATGTCACACAAACTTGAAGATCTGCAGGCAAAAACTAACAAGTTGATAGAAGAGGCAGCGAAGACGGGACTTCAGGTGAATATAGAGAAGACAGAGGTGATGAAGATACCGCACCACCACCATCAACAACAACAACAAACTCCAATCACCGTCAACGGGAGAAACTTAA